GTTTTTATAAAAAATAAATTTCATATAGGACTTGCTTAGAACTTGCTTAATAACTTTTCAAACTACCCACTGTCTTTAAAAGAAATCCTCTTTATGCTTGATCTGTGAATAGAATATTGGAATATTGTACTGTTTATTTCATTTATTATTGTACTCGTAATCATCTTTAAACAAAACACCATAAGCCCTTGAACAATAGCGCTCACCTATTATTATTGTTGTTGTTATTGAAATTTCTAATTATTTTTTTTTTCGAAAAAAATTTGGTATGTCTACAAGAAGCTGAAAAGGCATCACGCAGCAATGAGAAGAACAACAATAAACAAGAAAAAACCATAAAAAAAACTACGAACGTTTTTTCTTCATCATCAAATCAAGCACTTCAAATAAATCAATATCAAGATGTGATGTGATGCTGGGCTGTGCATTATTCATTGAGCGTTGTTGAATGGTTGGATTCAATAGATTCAATGGTAAACAAACATCAACAACATCATCCTCACTGTCGTCGTCGTCGTTGTAGTAGTCTTCGACATCAATTCAATTCATGTGTATTTTTATTTTCAAGTGCTGAGAGAGTTTATCGGCGCTTAATAATTGTTCAGAGCATTATTGACAAAAAAAGTTTGTAATAAAAAATAATACGCACACACATACACAAGTAAATAAATATACATATGTAAATAATAAAAATCATGCATATTTAAAAATAATTTTTGAAAAAAAAAAAAAAAATTCCATTGAAATTAAACTTAAACTATTCAATTTAAAATCATATTTACTCGTGCATTTTTTATTAATGTGTGTTTTTCAATATTTTACAATACAATTTTAAATTTTGATTTTTTCGATAAAATTGTTATTGAAGTTTGTTATTTATCATACAGTTAGCAACAATGGAGGCTTTGAAATTTTACTACTATTTCCGGTAGTGTCAAAGTCAGGTGTGCTTTTGGCAGTTATGATTAATGTGAGAAATGTCATTTAAATATGAAAGTGTAAATTATGTGTTTAAGTCTTATATAATGATGCTTCTGTCGACAGATTTAATTTGTAACCGATTCTTTTATGGCGGGGACTTTTCTTTAGGAAATGCCATGCTGTGACTAGAACAGAACTAGAACTGAACTAGAACTGAACTAGAACTGAACTAGAACTGAACTAGAACTGAACTAGAACTGAACTAGAACTGAACTAGAACTGAACTAGAACTGAACTAGAACTGAACTAGAACTGAACTAGAACTGAACTAGAACTGAACTAGAACTGAACTAGAACTGAACTAGAACTGAACTAGAACTGAACTAGAACTGAACTAGAACTGAACTAGAACTGAACTAGAACTGAACTAGAAACTGAACTAGAACTGAACTAGAACTGAACTAGAACTGAACTAGAACTGAACTAGAACTGAACTAGAACTGAACTAGAACTGAACTAGAACTGAACTAGAACTGAACTAGAACTGAACTAGAACTGAACTAGAACTGAACTAGAACTGAACTAGAACTACTAGAACTGAACTAGAACTGAACTAGAACTGAACTAGAACTGAACTAGAACTGAACTAGAACAGAACTAGAACTGAACTAGAAACTGAACTAGAACTGAACTAGAACTGAACTAGAACTGAACTAGAACTGAACTAGAACTGAACTAGAACTGAACTAGAACTGAACTAGAACTGAACTAGAACTGAACTAGAACTGAACTAGAACTGAACTAGAACTGAACTAGAACTGAACTAGAACTGAACTAGAACTGAACTAGAACTGAAAATAAATATCGCCATTTTGTATTTATAATTCTTTAGTTACACACAAGAAAATTACATGTTTTTTTTTAACGCCATCACAAACTTATTGCTCATATTTTAGCCCTAAACTTCTACCAAAGAATTTTAAAGCTCTAGAGATCCATTATTTAATTATTTTTTTTACACCTTGATCCTAAAGCCACATGTGTTCAGCTGTTTTTATAGCATTTATTTACATACGAGAAAAAATTTAAACATTTTAGCATAAACATCCTTGTTAAATAAAAAAAACACAACACAAATCCTTGAAATAACAACAGTCCTTTTCATTCTCCACATAAAATCTGTGCGTAATAATACTGGTATTATGCCAACCATCATTGTGTGAACGCTTAAGCCAGAGCAACCTGAAACTGAAAATTGCTACTTAGTTTAAATTAAGGGGATTAAGCAGATTTATGGCATTTTCATTTATAATCTGCTAAAAAAATAACAGAGAAAATATGTTTCTACCGTTGTGTGGTCATTGTAGGCGTAAAATTGACAAAAGGACTTTTCACACCAAGCAGGATTAAGCTCGTAAATGCTCGTAACTGCAAACAATTTAATTATGGGATTTTACGTGTCAGACAAGTACTTATTCAATGCATGATGCTTTAGACTCTCAAGTACCGCTGCTAATGCTAAATTTTCCTTCTATGGCTATGCAAGTTCGTCCGTCCACTTCTGGCCCTGTGTTTTTATAGCTTTCTTTTCTTTTTCGTATCTTTTTTTTGTTTTAAAACCATTAGTCGATAATTTTTGCACCTGTAGTCTCAAGAGGCTGCTGCATGCTACAAACTGAAACAAATTTCCAAAGAATAAATTGTACCTTTGCACACACCGATACATGTCGATACATACAAATATGAATACAAATGCCACGTACCTAAATAGTGATGCGTCAGTTAGTTTGTTTATTTGATGTTTTAGAACACGTTTTAGTTTTTACTCTGAATTTATCCTCTAGAATCATCAGATGAAACTGCAGGATGAGTATGAAGAAAGTGTCTGTGTTTATTTCAATATTTTTATTTAAAAAAGGTTTTTGGCAAACCGTTATGTTTTCATTTTTGTTGTTAGTTTAAATTCAAAAGAAAATAATATCCGTCTGTCTGTCTCTCAGTCTGTCTGCAACTGTGTTTGTTGTGCATGGAAATTGTGTGCTTTTTAGCTCGTGCTAAATTTAGTCGAAAACAATAGGCGTTATAGTAGTAAACAACTATAATTGTACAAAACTAAATTTGTTATAATAGCAATTTAGCAAAAAGGATGAGGTCAGCACAAATTTCAAATGAATTGCAGATGTCTTGATATGCAGCTGCTGACTGTTGCTGCTGCCAACTCAGACAACGCCAAGCAATGTTGTTGTGCCCTCGACTACATACACTTATACTTACACTAACTAACTAAAATGATCCTTAATTAGTTTGAAGGTCATTTGTGGCCTTCGTGCTCTTAAGAGAAAGTTACTTTAATTATCGAATTTTAGTATAGGGGCTTTTTTTGGGAAATAATTTATTGTTTTAAACAAGAAATACGGGCTTTATTTTAGTTGTTAACTAAATTTTGTTTTTAATTAACTTAATTCACATACGATATAAAAGAGGGAGTTTTAATTAATTCATTAAATCAACGTTATCGTAATGATCTTTAAAATAAAATATGTGTTTTGAGTTTAATCAAAGTTACAATGGAATTAAAGAAAAATTTCTGGTTTCCATGAAAAGTTTTTAGACGCGTTTTATGGAAAATCCAAGAACTCAACTAGAACGGAACTAGATCAAAACTAGAACTAAATTAGGACAGAACAGAATTAGAACAGAACTAGGACAGAATTAGAACAGAACTAGAACTGAACTAGAACTGAACTAAAACTGAACTAGAACTGAACTAGAACTGAACTAGAACTGAACTAGAACTGAACTAGAACTGAACTAGAACTGAACTAGAACTGAACTAGAACTGAACTAGAACTGAACTAGAACTAGAAATGAACTAGAACTGAACTAGAACTGAACTAGAACTGAACTAGAACTGAACTAGAACTGAACTAGAACTGAACTAGAACTGAACTAGAACTGAACTAGAACTGAACTAGAACTGAACTAGAACTAGAACTGAACTAGAACTGAACTAGAACTGAACTAGAACTGAACTAGAACTGAACTAGAACTGAACTAGAACTGAACTACTAGAACTGAACTAGAACTGAACTAGAACTGAACTAGAACTGAACTAGAACTGAACTAGAACTGAACTAGGACTGAACTAGAACTGAACTAGAACTGAACTAGAACTGAACTAGAACTGAACTAGAACTGAACTAGAACTGAACTAGAACTGAACTAGAACTGAACTAGAACTGAACTAGAACTGAACTAGAACTGAACTAGAACTGAACTAGAACTGAACTAGAACTGAACTAGAACTGAACTAGAACTGAACTAGAACTGAACTAGAACTGAACTAGAACTGAACTAGAACTAAACTGGAACTGAACTAGGACTGAACTATTTCCATTCTGGTTCTGTTTCACTGATGCTTTGTTTGTATCGTTCTTTATTTTTTTCATTAAGACCGTAAAGAATTTTCTCACGTTTTTCTCCCAAACTTTTTACACAAACATCATTTTCTTTTAATGAATGAAAAGAGTTAATGAACATTTTTTGTGTCACAATTGCGTTCTGAGAATTTCATTTTAAATTCAAAGGAATTCAGCAGCCTTTTAACGTGAATTCTTAATTTGAAAATGAATGAAAATGTTTAAGAATCTGTCTGCCTGTAAAAAAGGCTCGGTAAATTTTAAGGTAAATTGAAATCTGTTGGGTTTATTATTGTGCGTGTTCAGCGGTGTTAATTTATTCATTAAATAAGAAAATTTAGAAATATTCTCTACAATTATACACACTAATATCAAATTTCTTTTACATATTTTTAGGTGTAAAAAAAACAAGACTTGAGAACCCAACAATTGGGCAAATAATCATTGTCATTGTAGTTATTTGTAATTATGATTGCTATATTGTTGTTATTGTTGTTATCATAAGTTATTAAATGTTTGTAATTCCCAGGCTTATTAACATTTTCATAAATGATATTTAATTAACTACCAAAATCATTGTCATTGGAAACGAACGTTTTGTCAATGATTAATTGCTTGTATTGTATCTGTAATTTGAAATCAGTTGTTTGTTGTACTTACGTGTTTGTGAGATATCGGTCACTGAGACTGTTCCTTCTGCAGCTAAGTTTATGGCTTTGTTGTGTGCACACTGTGACATTATTACATAATCTTCTACTGTACATAATGCACCAGAAATCACCACCTGCAATAAAAATAATAATAATAATAAAAAATTTAATTAATAATTATTTGTCTTGGAGCGTTTTTACGTGTCATTAATTTTAATTTTGTTAAAATCATTAAATTTTATTTGAAAATATGTACATGTCAGCGATAAATTTTCTAGAGCAATATTTATGTCAAAGATAAATATGCAAAAATTGTCTTTATTTTGCTCAACACTGTTAACTCTGCCATTTTGTGTTTGTGTGCTTTTATTTTAAAATAAACAACTAGCATACTTGAAGGTAAACTCACTCACATCCTCTTAAACTCATACATTGTATAGACATTTTAATATAACGGTATTTCTACATACAGCATCAGACAGTGAACGAACCATTCAGCCATCCAACCAACCCACCAACCCATCTGACGAACTAGTGAACATGTTTTCATTTCGTTATCTTACACTCTACATCAATGTTAATTATGAAAAACATATTGTCATCAATTTGTTTTCTATCACAACAAATAAAATTAAATAATTTTTGTTTGCTTATTTATGTATATTTTTTTTTCTCTTGTCAAAACAACTCTTTAAATGTTCTTCTCTGCCTTTCGGCTTAAATTCCTTTGTATGATGCATCAATTTGTTTTCGTTTAGGGTTAAATTATCTTATTGATCGGTATGCGGTCCCATGTTGGCCAAACCCTTTAAAATTTTGGAATTTGCCAAGTTTTTAAGAGAATTTCGCAGTATATTCATTATTACAATTTGGTTTTGTTAGACTTGCCTTTTCAGAAATATGTAGTAAGCTGTTATTGTTGTTGTTTACAAAAATATTTCAGATAAGAATTGGCCTATAACGACGTTTTTACTTGGAATTGTTTTTGGATTCCCCAGAAAAATTCCAATTAAAAAAGAAAAACAAAAGAAATACATAATTTAAAAATATTTAACTAATGTGGGTGGGTCCCCCTAAAAGAAACATTTTACATAGAAAAAAATGTCGTAAAACAGATAAATTGAGGAATTTTGCAATCGCTTATTCGATAGCGATCGAAATATTAATAAAAATAAAAAGAATTTTAGAAATTTTTAACGCATTTGAATTGATTAGTTCTAGTTGATTTCTAGTTATGTTCTAGATTAGTTCTAGTTCAGTTTTACTTCAGTTGTAGTTCAGTTTTAGTTCAGTTCTAGATCTAGTTCAGTTCTAGTTCAGTTCTAGTTCAGTTCTAGTTCAGTTCTAGTTCAGTTCTAGTTCAGTTCTAGTTCAGTTCTAGTTCAGTTCTAGTTCAGTTCTAGTTCAGTTCTAGTTCAGTTCTAGTTCAGTTCTAGTTCAGTTCTAGTTCAGTTCTAGTTCAGTTCTAGTTCAGTTCTAGTTCAGTTCTAGTTCAGTTCTAGTTCAGTTCTAGTTCAGTTCTAGTTCAGTTCTAGTTCAGTTCTAGTTCAGTTCTAGTTCAGTTCTAGTTCAGTTCTAGTTCAGTTCTAGTTCAGTTCTAGTTCAGTTCTAGTTCAGTTCTAGTTCAGTTCTAGTTCAGTTCTAGTTCAGTTCTAGTTCAGTTCTAGTTCAGTTCTAGTTCAGTTCTAGTTCAGTTCTAGTTCAGTTCTAGTTCAGTTCTAGTTCAGTTCTAGTTCAGTTCTAGTTCAGTTCTAGTTCAGTTCTAGTTCAGTTCTAGTTCAGTTCTAGTTCAGTTCTAGTTCAGTTCTAGTTCAGTTCTAGTTCAGTTCTAGTTCAGTTCTAGTTCAGTTCTAGTTCAGTTCTAGTTCAGTTCTAGTTCAGTTCTAGTTCAGTTCTAGTTCAGTTCTAGTTCAGTTCTAGTTCAGTTCTAGTTCAGTTCTAGTTCAGTTCTAGTTCTAGTTCAGTTCTAGTTCAGTTCTAGTTCAGTTCTAGTTCAGTTCTAGTTAGTTCTAGTTCAGTTCTAGTTCAGTTCTAGTTCAGTTCTAGTTCAGTTCTAGTTCAGTTCTGGTTCAGTTCTAGTTCAGTTCTAGTTCAGTTCTAGTTCAGTTCTAGTTCAGTTCTAGTTCAGTTCTAGTTCAGTTCTAGTTCAGTTCTAGTTCAGTTCTAGTTCAGTTCTAGTTCAGTTCTAGTTTAGTTCTAGTTCAGTTCTAGTTCAGTTCTAGTTCAGTTCTAGTTCAGTTCTAGTTCAGTTCTAGTTCAGTTCTAGTTCAGTTCTAGTTCAGTTCTAGTTCAGTTCTAGTTCAGTTCTAGTTCAGTTCTAGTTCAGTTCTAGTTCAGTTTGACATTTCAAAGATTAGCTGCTATATTTGTACACATAACTGTTAGTGTAAGCTTGAATGTGTATCTGTATGGTGCATAAATAAATAAGTGTTTAGTAAACACGTTGCAATTGCAATTTTGTGCCAAAACAAGGACATTTATCAAGTGATTTATATTCAGATAAATACCGAACAGAAAAATGTTGAAAAAAATGTAAACAAATAAGTACATACACTCGGTTTAATTCCAACATGTGGAAATGTGTAAACCAGTGGAAATGGTTGGCTGGTAGCTTAAAGGTGTGTTGGTGTGGCATGTTCAAATTTTATACAAATTTACAAAATTTTACTAGCTGTTTTTGGTATGTAAAGTTGTATATTTTTTAAAAGTTTTGAACCAATTAATATAAATCTTTATTTTTTTCTCCCCATTTACCACCATATATAGAAAAAAGTGTTTAAGTAAAGTAGTGTACTTATAAATATCGTGTTAAATTTTTAATGTATTTACTTGTTTAAATACACTTACATGCATGTAATTATATTCTTATCTAACGATTTAAACTATCGTTTTCAATTTCGTTTTCTTCGATACTTTTAGCGTAGTACATTACCGTTTGCCCCTCTCACCCATTACAATGCGCCACTAGTAAATATTTAATTATTTATGACTGTTTCCTAACCTAACCGAAATAACCTCGTTTTTTTCGATTTCTATTTTTTTTGTTAAACAAACTTACAACTTTGTAACAAGAATGAACAAATATTAAAAAAAACGCATTATTTGGTAATTATCGACAAAATTCTATGTAATAAATAATCAAGTCAATAAGTTTGTTAAGGGAGAGAAAGAATAAAATGATATATAAAGGTGAAATGCCTATGAGAGGTATATGTTTAAGGGGGTTGTGTGGGGCAGAAAATGATTACAATTATACCTTAATAATAAGAATGTTACAAACAGTTTAGTTGTAATGTTTATAAAGAGGGAACCCGCAAAACATTTTATGACTTAATTGTATTGTTGTTTGTTTTGTAGAAGTTGCCAATTAAAGTTCAAGGTAAATTTTTAAAAGCGTTGCAGGTTTATAAAATATTCCATAGAACAAGTGTGCAAGTTTAGATGAAAATTGTGTTTTTGAAATTTTGTTATTTTAACAATTAAATGAAAGAAAGCTTATGTTTTAATTAATTAATTATCAAATGTTGCGGTAAAATGTATATCTGCATTAAAGAATTTGTTGAATTGGATTATGAATTGAGTTTTTGAATGTATTACCCATTAACTATATCTTACATTCTAATTTGAATTTCCAATTTCTGATCCTTATACATTTCACATTTCTTTCCCAATCTTTGCTCTGTGTCTATCCTCTTTCCTTTTTCTTAAAATCGTCTTAAAGCTATTTACAAAGGGACCTAACGCACCCAGTTGAAGGTGTTTTCAAAGTGTAGTACAGCAGCCTGTGAAAGCCTATCCCAAGCTGTAGGTACTATGGTCCATACTAGATCAATTATTATGAAAATTTCATAATATAATTATGAGATATAAAAGCTCTAATTGAAGGATCTACTTGTATGACAGCTAGGTGAAGTAATGGATCTATTCCAATCAGTTCTATAGTTGAAATCATGCTTTTCTTGTGACAAATTTCATCAAACGACCTGAACTTTGATAATAAAGTTTACATGGACGGACGGACATCATTAAAACGAAGTTATTTTGACTTGATCGGTGTACTTTAAGGTGGATGAAGGAAAAACAGTTTAGTGCCTTACAAACATCAGCAGAAACGTTTAAGACCCTTCCCACTATAGTAAATGTTGTAATTCGTCTGACAGCTTCTGTGTAAACCAACTAAAACGGATGGACGGACATCGTTGATACAAAATGATTTTGACTCCATCGGTGTACTTTAAGGTGCATGAAGGAAAAATAGATTAGTGCCTTACAAACATCAGCAGAAACGTTTAAGACTCTTCCTACTATGGTAAATGTTGTAATCCGTTTGACAGTTTCTGTGTAAATCAACTAATTCTTTGATGCAATTTGTATTTCGATAATAAAGTTTACATAGAAGGACGGACATCATTAAAACGAAGTTATTTTGACTCGATCGACATACTTTAAGGTGGATGTAGGAAAAATAGTTAAGTGCCTTACAAACATCAGCAGAAACTTATAAGATCCTCACCGCCACAGTAAATGTTGTAATCTGTCTTAGAGTTTCTGTGTAAAACAACTATAGCTTTGAGGCAATTTTTTTAAAGTTCTAAATTCTGTATATCAATAATAAGTATATCATATGCAAGGTATTGCGAATGCCTATTCAAACTTATATACTTGAAGCCTTATGCATAAACAAATGTTTATTTTCTAAACTGTTTATAAATCAAATTTTGTATGAATATGAATTTCTACCTTTTTTATACAAATTTTATTAAAAATATAGTATGATTGATAGTAACGGTTAACTGAATAACCTCCAAGTTTAAGGAAGTAGTAGTGAGCAAGTTTAAAAATACTATTAAACAAACTTATTAATAACACAAACCCCTCCCCAAAAAACCACCCACACACAATGCAATTAAGTTAAGATCATAATATGCAATATTTTTTAACAAATGCTATGAATATTTAAATATTTATTTCTAAGTGTTGTTTTTTATAGTTATTATTACTATTATTATTTTTTTACTTACAAATAAAAATAACAGCCTTAACTGATTCGTCATTCATTCGGTTGAAATTTAACATAGTTTTTTATTCAGCCATTAACTGCTTTGCAGTAAATTCTATATTTTTTTTGGTTGTA